TCTCTCTCTTTACCTCCATCTCTCTCTCTTTACCTCCATCTCTCTCTTTACCTCCATCTCTCTCTCTTTACATCCATCTCTCTCTCTCTACCTCCATCTCTCTCTTTACATCCATCTCTCTCTCTCTACCTCCATCTCTCTCTCTTTATATCCATCTCTCTCTCTCTACCTCCATCTCTCTCTCTTTACATCCATCTCTCTCTCTTTACCTAACACTGTCATTCCATTCATCGTAGAAGAGGAGAAGTGGTGTGAGATACTATACCCACTGCTTTCAAGTAGATTCCGACTCATAGTCACCCTAGAGGACAGCGTAGAACTGCCCCATTGGGTTTCCAAGGAGCGGTTGTTGGGCTCAAATTGCTGGCCTTTTGGTTAGCAGCCAAGCTCTTAACCACTTCACCACCAGGGCTCTGTGAGACACTGTAGGATTTCACAAAGGCCTCTGAAAAGAGGGGCACTCCCTAGTACTTGTAACAGTGAAGACGGCAGGTGAGCAAGTAACGCGCACATGCATTGGCAGGAAATTACTCCTTGGAAGAATCATCTCACCGCTATAAACTCCTAAGAATTTTTCATTACTCTTTTTTAAAATTTATTTTATTCTTTGACTAAAGTAAATTATATCACCAAATCTTCATAATTTTGAAAATCTTTGGAAAATAATTTATTGCATATCATCATAAAATTACAGTGTGCTTACATAAATGCATTTTAAGGTCCTATTTTCGTACCAAAAACTTCATTGAGTTGACATCTGAAAAGACTATTATTTTGGAGTAAATACTTCTACTTTACAAACTTTTGATGCAAAGTCTGAGAGAAATGTAGAAATGAAAATACCTGGGCTTTTATAAACGTATAAAAACTAAACAAGCCAACACATTTGTTTTTATTTTTTAATTGGTACAGATTTCTCTTTATGATTGGTGACAAATACTCTTTCTGTGGTGGCTGGTGGTGTTACTCACGGCCCCACCTCGGGCACCTTTCCCCAACCTCGTTATATGCTCCATGGAATTCCTTGTATTCCCAATGCTCAGCACCTCATAGGAATTTTAAAATACAGTAAAACCTGCAAACGCCACAACCCATGTGAGTCAGAAATCTGTCAGAGAAGGAAAACTCAAATTTATTTTCCATTAAAACGAGCAATAGAAAAGTGGTTAAGACTGACCCTGTCAAAGGTGGAAAACTTGCGAGACCTGGAAAAACAAGGCAGTCCTGCTGAGTTCCGGCTCTCACAGGTTTCACTGTATTGGTTGAATAAACAGGTCAATAAATAAATGAATACATAAAAGAAGCTATCTGAGAAATTTTTAGAATTTAGAGCCAGGAAAAAGTTTCCCTCTCTTGAGGAACAAAGCTTCCTCCTTTTATTTCTCATGAGACACATAGTTTCCCTTCTGTCCCACCTTCAAGGAGCCTCAGGTCCAAATCTAAAGTTCAGTCACTGCAACTATGTCAGCCTCAGTGCTTCGCTTAGTCACATCTCCTCGAGGCCCTTGATATTAGTTCTCTGTCTCAATTACGTTAGTCTTATTACGGTAAACTGCCTCAGTATCTTCTGTGGAAATGCAGGGTGTATAAATAAATTCAGTAAATAAGATAGCAGAAAGTACGTTCAGTGAAAGAGTTTTTATAGCAGAACAATGAGCAGTTATCGATGGTGTATTTTTAAAGTTTAGCCTCAAGCAAACTTGTTAAGCCCCCTTACATTCTGGATGAGTACCCCCTTCCCCTATGTGGGGCAGTGGGGAAAACGTTGCTTGTCATGGCTGTTACTAACTCCAGGACTTGTTGGACAGCGTAGGAGAAAAACAACGCTTTCCTCTGTGGCTTCAAACACCAGAAGGCCCATTATGTCTGTTTCATCCTTCCCGTCTCCAAGGTCACTGGGAAAAGGGAAACACTCACCAGTGAGGGCTGCGAGGCCCAGAAGCAGCCCCAATGCAGACATACTGATGACTGGGCTCTGCAGATCCTGAAATGATTTTAAAATAAATTAGCTTGAAGATTCGAAAATGTCAGGAGTTGTCATAACAATGTATACTGTTTCTATGGAAAGAAAAAAAAAATAGAAAGAAAGGAACAAATTTTCCCATGTCTGACCTGAGAAATTATTTGAATCAAAATGAAAAAGCAAAAATAGAACACATGCTCCAAGCATCCTTTCAATTAGCTTAAAAATGACCAACTCCTGCTTGGCCCACAGGGACTCAAGCTACCATCAAGCTGTTGTTAGCTGCCTTGGAGTCAATCCTGACTCATGCGACTGTTGTGATCCATAGGGTTTTCATGGGCTGATTTTCAGAAGCAGATCCCAAGGCCTTTCTTCCTAGTCCTTCTCGGTCTGGAAGCTCCGCTGAAGCCTGTTCAGCATCACAGCAACACGCAAGTCTCCACTGACAGACGGGTGGTGGCTGCGCGTGAGGTGCTTTGGCAGAGAATCGAACCTAAGTCTCCCACATGGCACCACTGAACCACCAATGACCCCACCATCAAGTTACTGGATACTAATTATTTTAATAAGCCAAGATACTTTTATTTTCAACACCAAGAAACATAAGCGACTTGACTCCAGACCCTGAAAAGCAAACTTCTAATGTATGTACCTTACCCCAATAGCCTCTTCCTTATCAAAAGAGAATATGAACAGGAGAATTTTTATTAGTGATTTCTCTGAATTTGGGTTCTTTTTTCTTCAAGGTAAAGAAGAGGTTACACGTTCCTCAATGCCTGGGAACATACGCTAATTATTTGCTTTGAATGGAGGAAGGAGTTGGAGGACACTCTCCTACTGCTCTAACCCCTGGCCTGGGAATCTCGGGCTCCTTGGCTGCCTCCAGCCCTGTTCCCCGTTATCCCTCTGTGAAAATCCTGTGCAGGGACAAGTCTAAGCCAGAGCCCAGGAAGGATGGAGACAGAGGCTGCTTCTACCAGTGTGATGATTAAAGTTCTGTGTCAGCTTGGCTGGGCCATGATCCTCAGTGGTTTGGTAGTTATGATGTAGTCTGGCAGCTTTTTAATGATGTAATCACCTCCATAATAAGATCTGATATAATGTGATCACCTCCGTGATAAGATCAGCTGTGAGCAACCAGTCCGTTGAAAGGGAGTGTCCTTGGAGGTGTGGCCTGCATACAATATAGGTGGACTTTCTGGCAAAGCTTGCTGGCTTTTACTCACTCTGGATCCTGCAGCTGGTTCCTGTTCATCGGACCTCTAGTTCTTGGGACTTGAGCTAGCAGCTTAACTGCTGTCTTATCTGCCAATCTTGGGATTCGTTGGCCTCCACAGCCTGTGAGTCAGAGGCCTCCTATCTGACCTTCCGATCTTGGATTCGCCAGCACTTGCTGCTACGTGAGTCAGGAGAAGCCTCCAGCCTGACACCTGACCCAGGAACTTGGGACTTTCCAGCTCTACAGCTGCGTGAACCATTTCCTTAATATAAATCTGTATCTCTCTCTATATATTTATACGCTGCACTGGTTTTGCTTCTCTAGAGAACCCAGTTTAAGACATCCAGCAAAGCCAACTTCCTGTGAAGTCAGGCCAAAGGCAGGGGTCCCCAGGATTGAACTCACTAAGGTGCTCAGCAGATGGGAGAATTGCCAGCTGGCCCCACCAAACCCTCGCTAAAGCACTCTCTCTCACACTTCCTCTCTTGCTCATTCAACCATTCCTCTAATCCCCTTCCACATGCACAAACAGCCCAGGCCCTCTCTTACTATCAAAAATCACCACCCAGAACAGTTGTGTTTGTCCCAGGAAATGCTGGGAAGCCAGCCCCTGGCCCCAAAGCCTATACCTCTGCATGTGTCCCATTGCCTTCCTGGGTCAGTTAAGCCTGGCTACCTGTCATTTTGAATTATTACTATCATGATATGTAGGGCTGTGCATATAAATACGGCACTTGGCACTTTCAAAATGCTTTTCTCATCTCTTTTGTTTTAAGGTTATTCATGCACGATTCTTCCCAAATACCCAGAAAGAGATTAAGTCTCAAAATGAAGGAGAGGCAGTTAGCAAGTCATTTGAATGAAAGCTTCTTAAACTGAGGGGGTGTGCATCCTTCAGATAAAGCCTTGTTTTTTGTCTTTCTTTCCTATTACAAAGGAGCCCTGGCTGCACAGTGGTTAAGTGCTCAGCTGCTAACCAAAAGGTTGGCATGTTCAAACCCACCAGCCGCTCCACTGGAGAAAAAGCTTGGTGATCTGCTCCCACAAAGATTACAGCCTAGGAAACCCTATGGGGCAGGTCTACTCTGTCCTATAGAGTCTCTACGAGTTGGAATGGACTCAAGGGCAATGAGTTTCCTATCACATTGAGATGGTCTGTCTGATTTCCGTTAGTTCAACACAAAATGTCATGCTTAGTCCCAACACCAAAAAGGTAAACAAACTTGGAATTTCAGGTGGGTCTGCAGGAACTGATTCAGTGACCCAGTGGGAATAATTTATTCAGCACCCACTGAGATCCCAGCACTGAATGAGAGAGGGCAATCCATTACAGGAAAAAGAACAGAGAAAGAGCTGCTTTGGTACAGGAAAAGCTCATGGTCTCAGGCTTCTCACTGGTGTTATGGAAAATGTCCTTCAGAAAATATTACTGCTTGCATTCAAATGCTAAACCCACGGTACTTCACTCTTGCTGCCTTTTTCCAGAGAACAAAGATACTTCCTCTTGGAAACCCAAGTGGAAGGACTTCACTTTTATTGCAACATTGGAGTGGTCTCATTTTCCAGGCATCAAATGAAATATCTGTGTTGAGCAAGCACTTGAATGAAAAGAATCTGTATAAATACACCTGGCAATTACTTAAGAACACTGAGTTACTTGCTGGTTCCTCCTGAGATTAGGCCTTCAAAATCTTTTTTTTTTTTTTCAGTTATGTTAGGGAAGAGCAAGAACTGACAATGGACACATACACAGTATGTTGAAGCAACTCACACTTTGTGACCCAACTTTACAGGTGCCTAAAAGCACTCTGGAGCCCTGGTGGCGCAGTGGTTAAGAGCTCAGCTGCTAACCAAAAGGTCGGCAGTTTGAATCCACCAGCCACTCCTTGGAAACCCTATGGGGCAGTTCTACTCTGTCCTATAAGGTCACTATGAGTCAGAATCAACTCAACGGCAACAGGTGTGTGGTGTGTGAAAAGTACTCTGTTTAGAAGGGATTGTTGAGGCATCACTGGGGTTGTTTTAGGGAGTGTCCACAGGTTACCTTTGACTAATCTGTTCATACCCCTGTGCCTCCCTGCTCTCGAAAGCATTACTAGAATGTCAGGCAGAGACAGCACAGTGGTCATGTGTCAAGCACAGTATCTATGGTGGCGCCACTATTCTCCACTCCTGGAGAGCAAAACAACAACAGCATGGGGGTGTAAACAACTGGAGCAACAGGCCTGCTTGGGACACTGAAACTGGCAACCAGAGCATCCCTGAGAGGCCAGCTCAAGTTCCTGGTGGCCTCTATTAGGACCTTTTACTCTATCCACCCTCCATCACTGGGTACTTGTAATTTTCAGAACATTATTTAGACTTGTAAGGCATAATAGACCATGTATTCCTTTGTTAAACACTTATTTCTGGAAAAGGTAGAAATAAAGGTCTTTATAGTTCTTTCACTGTAGAACTTCCATTCCTTTTCGATGAATGTTCTCCTAAATCGTCACCATAACCTTGAGCAAAAACCGTCCCAGGTCCTTGGGGTGCTCCAATCAGCCTGGAAGATGTGTTGTATTAACCACCCCGATGTGCTGGGAGATGAAGGTGGTCTTGCCCCATCATGCTACCCCTGCCCCCCAAATCCAATCATGGAAGAATTGAGAACTGCTCTACGTATTTCCATTAGGCATGGTCTCCCACTCTAAGCAGTATTGCTGCTCTTGTTTTATTGTTAACATAACTCTGTCTGCCCCCTGTGGGGTGATAAACCCTTCGTTAGCACTGTGTCTTGGTGATAAACCCTCTTGCTGTTGCTTGTCTTCCTCCTTCCTCCTCATGCACTCAGCAACATCCTACACCAGTGCCTAGCAGAATGCTACGCACCAACAGGTCCCAAATTAAAACAATAGCAACAATCACAATAAAAAATGTTTCTGCCCCGACGATGTTTTCTTGAGACAAAACCAAAAAACCAAATCCATTGCCATCAAGTCGATTCTGACTCAGTGACCCTATAGGACAGAGTAGAACTGCCCCATAGGGTTTCCAAGGAGTGGCTGGTAGATTTGAACTGCTGACCTTTTGGTTAGCAGCTGAGCTCTTAACCACTGCACCACCAGGGCTCCATCTGAATTCACGACAGAGACATCCAATTTGTTAAATGCATACATATTTCTCTTTTTCCATTCTTTGTTTTGTGCATGCTTACAAAACCAAAATGAAATGTACATATACATTAAAAGAAATCTAAACTTTTTATAAGTATTGTAATGAACAGGAAAAATTATTCTATCATCTACATAATCTTTTATAACTTGGATTTTCCTTGCATGGTCCTTAGGTTTCATCTGAGTCCAATCTTTCTTATTTACTCAGCAGCAGAGAAAGCCCATGGCCATATGTACGATGTTCCATCCTAAACAAACCCGACGTGAGTCCCAGGACTCTGCTTTACCCTCACCTGTCTTCAGTTAGCTCTTGTCCTTAGGGGCAGTCAGACACAATGCTTTATATAGAGTCCCTGCCCTGCTTCCTCTCCTTAGAAGTGCTGACTTCATCCTACTGTGAAGAGATTTATGGGTAAGTTTCACAAATTATAGCAATAATCATAATAATTAGAAATACTTTGAACTTATATAGGGCGTTTTATTCAAGAATGTCCTGGCATTTTGCAAACATTAACCAGTTAGCTCCTTACCACACCCTAGAAGGCAGATCTTAGTCGTAGGTTCACTTACAATACTTACAAGGTCAACACTTGTTTTTATTCTTGATGGCTTCTGGGAACGAG